GGGGCCAGGGCCGCGGAGGGGTGTGATTCAGCGGTGAAGAAAGTATTCACAGTCGCGTACTACGAGAGCGAGTTCCAGCCCCGACCCCCCTACAACTTGAGGACCCTCCTTTTTGACGCCGCGGACGATGCCCAGCTGAATGGGCGCTGGGTGGAAGGGCGGCAAATACAGGGGGAGGTGTCCTCCGACAACGTCATTTGCGATGTTTGGTTGGAGGCCAATGGGGTTGGGAGGGGGTGCATCCACCCCCAGTACAAACGGCGTCTCCAGGCGGAGCTGGAGCATTGGGATGAAATGTGCTAGACAAGGGAGGGGCCATTTCTATAACTAGCGGCTTGTAATTTCCATAGTGTGCATCGCCAATTGTAATTGTTAGTGCGAAGCTATGCTGGACCCACAGCCTGTGGGTCGCATGCATTGAGTGTGGTTGGTTGCAAGCGTCCCCGACCGGCTTCAAACTAATTCTTTTTGTGCGCAACATTGTGGTTTCCTCCCGCGTGTGCTGCCCCGAAAAATGGCACGTTTGTGTGCATCCCTGTTGTTATGGCATTTTTCTTGCATTTTGCTAGTGTGCAAAATGCACGTTTTGTTGTTTTTTATGGCCCCCTTACCGACATTTTGCACGAAAGCTTGTTCCGTGTGTGAGTGCGAGCAAAGAGTGCAAACAATAAAACCACTCGACAATGGGCAAATGCAGCAACCCAACAAACTGAAGGTTGCTCCATTCTAAAGACTTCCTCGAAGATTGATTCTTTGAGGAAAGCTTTGCAACATGCTATGGCTATCTGCCACTGATCAACAATGTTTTTGTTCATCTTCCCACCTTATTTTGATTTTCATATAATTATGTATTTTCTTAGCATCATGCCCTGGACCCACACATCCATCTTAATGTCCGTTTCAAGCTAAGCATACTAAAATCATTGTTACATTGACCGTTCGCGCTCAGTCCACATTCCGTCACTCCCAGGCATAGGAAGCAAGGCTATAAGTAGATGCGCTACAAAACAAGCACATCAACCAAGTACTATTTACTGGAAATGTTCCTAGTTAGTAATCACCGTCCCCCTTATCACCATGTTTGTTTATCACCATGTTCACCATATCTAGGCACACTATATTTAACACCATTCCCCTTATAATTACTTGCCGTAATTTCCTTGCCCTCACCATCATAATAGTGTTTTCCCCTTATATAAAACACTCTAGAAGTTTAAAATCCACAACGTGACATGACCTGCCAGTGCAGTCTCCATAAACTTCAATAAAGTATTTTTTAAAGTGATTGAAAAGAGAAGGATCAAGAACTACCCTTAGGTACAATGTTTTCAATTAAGGCACTGCAAGCTTGGCTCCAACCAACCGAACACGTAGAAGACTGCTGCACACATGTGCACCTCCAACGATCACATCAGAAAAGATAGCATACAAGTTAACATACTTGAATTACTTCTTATGCAAATGAAGCATGACGTAGGTAGTACTACCAATGCACGATTCATATCTGATGTTGCTCTTTTGGCACAAATCTTCAGAATCTCTGCAATGACATTCCTCCTGGTAGTGCCAGTTTCATTTCTGTGCCCACGCCTCACTCATCAAATTGCTGATGGCACTCGGTGAATGTGTGCCAGCCATGGGCTATGTATCTCAAAGATCTCCTACAAACATTCCCACAAATCTCAACTGTGCCTGTACCCTTGTGCCTGTATCCTTCGCTATTTAAGTGCTTGACCCACGACTAGGGTCCATTTGAAGGGTCACTGCTCGGCTCGATCGCAAACCACTGATCAAAAATATGCTTACTAAGAACATCTTTATCGGTGGGTGCTATTATCCCGGCGGTGCTATTCGGCCATCTGGATAGCAATGCACGAGACCTCAAAAAAACATCAATAACGGTAGGGGAGCAAGAGCACCCCAACAGCACCGCCGATGCTATTCACTGCCCGAATAGCACTGCTCGAGGCCAAATAGCACTCTGGAATGGCACTCGGTGCTATTTGCAGAGAACATTGTACTGCTGCCGTTATGCTATTTGGCATAGGAATAGCACCCACCATTATGGATGTGCACAGGGGAGCAATATCACGGGCGGTATTCGGCCAATGCCGCTTTAGTAAGGTGACACGGCAGCCGATGAGAACCGTTCCTGGATAGCACCGCCGGTGCAATAGCACCAACAGATAAAGATGCTCTAAGGCCTGCAACCGAAGGGTTTGCAAGCAAAACAAGCTCCAGTTGTGTGGACAGTCATGATGGTGGCCCTGAAGTTGGCCTCAGCTGCTAAGCACCGATTGATAAGATTAAATTAAAGTCCGCAGACCCCCCACACAAATAAACAAAATGCAAAAAGAATGTGAAATCACAGTTTTGCCAAGGGTCCCGCAACCCGCAGCTCCACTACGGGAAGAGCCTCGCCCTCAGGACGAGGCAGGCCAAGCCCACCGCGCCTGCGGCCGCGAGCACAGCCAGCTGCGCGTCCTGCCACCTGTGCATCGCCTCGATCCTCGAGTAGGGCACCCGCGGGTCGGCGACGCCATCCTCCGCCAGCGGCCCAAAAGCGAACGGCAGCGCGCGGTGGAGGGCCCACAGCACCATGCCCCGCAGCATCACCCCTGGGTTGATCAGCGGCCTCTTGGACATGGCCACCGCCGCGTCAGTGTCGGGCTTCCTCGCAGCGGTGAACGCCGGCAGCGCCTTGGCCAGGTCGCCCCCGTGCTCCTCGATCACCTCCGACAGAATCCGAGCGCTCTCCAGACCGGAGTTGCAGCCCTGGCCCCGGTTGAGCCACATGGAGTGCGCGGCGTCGCCCACCAGCACCGCGCCGCCGCCGTGGAAGGCGCTGCAGTGTGTCGCCACACCGTTGTGGCTGGCCCGCTGCTCCAGGAGGTCCCTGGCCAGCCCCTCTGGTAGCGGGTTGCCGCCGAAGAGGTCCGGAAACTTAGACTCAAACTTGGCCGCTACGTCAGCCTCGGTCCTTAAGTGCCCGAACTCCTCGTCCCAGTCGCGTGTCATCGTGCCGATGCCCAGGCGGAACCTCCCAGCGGGCGTGGGGGAGCCCAGCATCGCGAACTTGGGCGAGTGGCGCACCCACATGTGCCACTGCCTGCCCCACGCGTCCCCGGCGCCAGGGAGGCCGTCCACCTCTACGACCTTGATCCCCCCAACGTTCCTGTGCTGCTGGAACGTCAGGAAGCCCGCCTTAGCCATCTCCGCCCGCACGCCGCTCCACACGCCGTCCGCGCCCACCAGCAGGTCGTACCCTCTCGCAACATCCCCCCCGCCCCCTTCGAACGTCGCCACCTTCTGTTCAAAATCCAGCCCGGTCAGCCGGTGGCCAAAATAGTACTGGATCCTATCTGCGTGCGCGGCCGCCCCATGCTGCTGCAGCGTCCACCCCAGCACGTCGCGATTGATCGCCGTCAACTTTCCCGCCCTCAAATCCACGTTCATCGTCTGCCCCACCCTTCCACGGTGCAGCACATAACCCTCCAAGTCCACGCCTCGATCGCGCCCCAGGCTCGCCCCGGCGCCGTTGATCGCATCCTTGCCTCTTGGCCCCAGCAGGATGGTGTAGGCCCTCTGCGCCGCGCCGGCCTGAGCCAGCCGATCCTCATATCTTGGCTGCACCTCAAAAACCTCCACCCTCCATCCCGTCCTCGCCAAATAGATCGCGGCGAGGGACCCCACGGGCCCACAGCCGACCACCACCGCGCGGCGGGCGCCCGTGGCGCCGACCGCGCCGTTTGCGCCCATGGTTGGACGAAGCGAAAGGGAATAAAGAGATCACTTGTGGTGACTGCGAGAGCACGGCGGTATTTGAAAGCAGTCAAGGCTTCTGCGTGGCTGGCGGAGTGTCATGGAGTCGGCGTGCTTACCCGAGCGTTGCGCTCGTGGAGGGCCGCACGGCCGCGAAAACCGGTGCGCGGAGGTGAGGTAACCAGCTGGGTCCGTTGTGGGTAAGCGGGGTGCATTGCTGGGGGCTGCTGCTGACGTGCAAGGAGATGCAGTCATGGTAGGTGTCAGTCCCGAGTTCGAAGTGCCGTACATCCGGTGATCGCCTCGTGTGTCCGGTATTGGGCCGCCCCTCGTACCTGCTCATCGGCAGGTTGCGGCAAGGAGGGTGCCTGGCCCCGAGTGAGTGGAAGTCAGCAGGACATTTGTCGGCCCGCTTTAAAGGACAGCGACGTGAGAGGAGTTGGCACCAACGCGCCCATTGAATATTTGCTGAAACCGGCAGCAATTCGCCTTGATCCCAAACCACCGCGCTGAAGAAATTGCTGTTGCCTTCGTCAAAATGTTTCACTGGTGATAAACTGGATCAAGTTCAATTTGTTCAACTGACGCCTCACCGTAAGACAGAAGGGCCACGGAAAGTCCAGTTTTGGACGTCCTGCTGGCACGTGAATTCATCGAGACAGTTCTTCAGGCACGCGAAAACTCGTTCTGGGTGTTGTTGCATGCGCGCTAACATTGGCCACGGTGATTCAAATCATGATTTCAGTTACCACGTGATTATGGTGCGAAAGACTGAAGTCTCGCCAACTAATCCGACTGCAGCAGACATCACAAACAATGCCCGTTGGATCAAACCGTTGGAAAACGCGTTGGGAACACAAAAGGCAGCGCAAGTGTTGAGAACTGTATCAACTTTGAATGCGTACATTCCAAGGAGTAAATCCAGAAATCTCCGAAATTGCCAACGCCTATCGTCACTGGCGACACCAACGGAGGGGCTGACGCCTCAAAGTCCACGATCGCACTGATGTGAACGTCTCAACACACATTCGAACATCTGCGATACCCAATGGAGCCGTCAAATACCAGACCTAAATTCGTCACGCCGATCGCCGATGTTTCTGCTCCATTCCTATGCCTCCAGCTCGGTCAGCTAACCATTTGCGAATAGGTTTGTCTCATAATCGGGAAGAGGATACTGTTCCGAAAATTGTTATTCTCATGCAAGATTCCTCAATTGCAGTCTGTGCAATCAAATTGCCTAATTAGCCTTATGAGGGACCCAATGGACACCCCACAGGTTCAAATTGGCGTTCGGGAGCGAGTTGTGCTCTTATTGACTTGAAATTTGACCGCATCTTGCAAATCCTGCCTCAACAAAATGGTCGAAATTTCGTGTCCAAATTCAAGGTTACCGCTCTGCAATAGCCTCCCACGCAACGGGACAGGGTGTCCCACGCATGCCATGCATGAACACCGGACACCAAATTTTCAAATTGACGTTCCGGAACGAGTTTTTGCTCCGATTGTCTTGAGATTTCGACCACATAGTGCACATGCCGTCTAGTTGCCGTGGCGCAAGTTTTGTGTCCAGATTCAAATTTCCGCTTTGCAGTGATCTCTCAGGAAACCGGACAGTGTGTCATGCGTGACATCTGGTGCTTCGTTGTCTTCCCGTTTTCGGCGTTGGGGTGGCGGGAGCGCCGGTCGCGCAACCTCTCCGACCAGCGGATTGAAAACGGAGCACGATTGTGAATGGGTTTGCTGCTCACCTCTTGAACCCGGCACGGTTTCGTTCATGGAAACGCCGTAACATGGCTGCCGGCGCCACCCAATCTAGGGCAATGCTCATCCTCCCAACACCTTACGACTACGGCCAGCGTGGCGACGGAGGTTTGCGACGCACTCTCCGTGAGTCCAGTCCCTCTGGAAGCACTTGCAGAAACTCCTCGTGCTAGAGGTTGTCAGGAATGTAGGGCGGGGGGCGATCCCATATTTGGAGATCTTCCCTCATACCGACAAACACAAAATAGGGCAGGCGTGAGGCTAGACGGCTAAGCGGTGCTGACGATCGATCCCTGTCGTGGCTTGACCAAAAGAAAGTGTACTCTTTGCCATTCACAAGGCTTGCTGAGCGGGAGTGAGGCGCTTTGTGACAAAAAAGAAACTAGCGTGGTTGCCCATCCTGGGATGGTCACAAATTGTACAGTGACGCCATCCCCAAATTTGACACGAGGGATGAATGATGGACGGTGAACAACTGCCATCAAGGGTGTTTGGGTCGCTCTCCACGGCTTCTCGGAAGATGCCAAAGCCGGGCAGGGCAAAAACTTAGGACGGATGCATCCCAAAGCCCCTAACCCCGTTCCTGAATCGTCCATCCGTGGACGCAGCTGTGCGCATCCGGACCCAACGTGCGTACAGGTGATCGCCAGCTGTTGTCCAACGCAGCCTGACTTTGGGCCCCGCAATTCCCCGCGTGCGTTTTGAATTGCAGGGTCCCATCGAACATTTTGGAACTAGGCAGGTTGCTTGTTGGGCATCGTGCAAAGGCAACGAAAGTGGTAACCGGTGGTGCATGCTGCTGGAGCGCTCTCAAGTCGCAGTCGCGGCAGCCAACATGGCACAAACCGCCTTGCACTATGTCCCGGAGTTTTGTCCCCGCTCTTGTGCTGCGGTGGCCAACAAGGAACGGATGGTTTCTTGGGGAACCGTTTGTAAGGCAGCGGCCGTAGGTGTTGGATATTTGGGCACCTGATCATGGAGATAACCAGCAAACAATACAACGTGCAGCTTTCATGATTTAAATTCCAAGCACACCGCATTGGGACTTCTTTCAGGCACGTTTCTTGCCATAAAAATCTTCTTTGACATTCTGGAGTATTGGAAAACGCCGACGGTATCGCAATGCAGCCATAACACGCTCCTCCATGCAGCTATATCGCACAGAACTGCCCTCAATGCGCCAGAAGTGCTCATGGACTTGTCAGTGACGTCCATTCGCTGCAACGGGCACACCAGGGGCTGTACAACGAATGCATGGCACTCGTTGCTGGGATGGCACGTCTTGCTATCCCCATGCAGCATGCTAGCAAGATTCGAAGCACTCTCACAGCAGTGCAATTTCTTGGCAAGAATGCAAGGGCCCTTCCCGAAAATTTCCACCCAGAGAGGCGATGAAGAGGCGATTCCATAGTCACTAGGAAAAAAAAACGAAAAACACGTGTTCAAACGTGCACAAAGTTTACGGGCTTGATTATTTGTGTGTTCTTAGCGTGCATTAATTGATGAAATGCGTTCATATGTGTGCGTAAAAAGTTTTGTTTGGTCCTTTTTTGCTAGTGAGTGTGGCTTGCACACAATCGATAGGCAAGCACGATGGAATGAGCACAACCATGGTTGCAATATTGCGCCCGGGCCTGGGTGGCCTGGATGAACAACCCTAGGGTTGTTATGCGCCAATAGAGCTTAATGTATAGACATTTGAAAACACGCATATTTGATGGCAACAACACAGCGTTAAAGTACAGCCAAACACTCTGATTCTACATCAATTAACCAACAACAGAGAAGGCACATTTCGTTTGCTCCCCGTTTCTAATTCCGCATCAGCTACGAATTGGAGATAGTCGGGAGTGGCCCCTAATTCTGTCTCCCGCTCCATTTCCATTATCAGCACTTGTCGAACATCCATGAATGAGTGACAACACGCTTTGCGAAATGCCACCAAATTAACAAATCAGTGCTCGGATACTTTGTCAGACGCTGCGACGCTGCGTCATCGGCTGCCTTGCGCCGATCAATCAATCGCTCCATCAACGAACCATTGCACACACCGATAGGATGGGTGAGGCACCCGGACACTGAAATGTGATGTAATATTTTTTGAAATCTGGGAAAAAGAAAAAAACACTGCACACGTTGCCAGGTAACAAGTGGTGTTCGCGCTCTCAATTCTCAAACACACGCCCGGGCGCGGTCGCCAGCGGCCATGGGCCGGACCCTCCGCCTGGCCGCCAGCGTCCCCCGCGGCCTGGCCGCCCTCCGCGGCGCCGCCCGCGACGGCTTGATCTCCTCCCCTCCCCAGATTCGGCGCCTCGCCGCCAAGGCGCGGCGCAGGCGAAAGTGGTACGCGCCCAAAGCCCAGGCGGGACCAGTCAGCGATGCTTCGACGGAGTCTGCCGCCGAGAGGGTGGGGAGCGAGGATGCGGCGGGGGAAGGGGCGGAGGAGGGGCAGCCGGCGCCTTCAAGCGCGGCGATCGGGATGGATTGGGAATCGTACAAGATTCCGCACAGGTGATGAGGGATGTGGATCCTTTGTCGTTTGTCGGTCAGGTTGGCTGGAATGTCGAAGCTAGAGAGCATTCGGTGCCCATCTTGTGCCGGTAATGTGTGTTGATCCTGCGAAACAACTTTTGGGCTGTCGAAAAGCGGCACAATTCTGGCAATGTGCTTGGAAGGTGATGACATGCGCAACGGACATTGTTTGTGGTGGAATGTTTGCTCGCGAGGTTAGTGGGATGGCTGGATGTATCCCTACCGGTAACGTGGAACGATAATTGTCATCAAGATACATGCTCTGTTGTCGGCTGCATGTGAGGCTTGCTGTTTGGCAGACAACTATTGCCCCAGCCTTGGTTGTTGATGTGTAAGGATTGATGCGTTATTATCATGGAGGAGGGTGCAGGCCATAACATGGGCACCACCGCCCCCATAGTGATCTTGGGACACTGTCGGGCCTTGTATGATTGGACTTTGAGCTCTCGAGTGCGAAAGTGGGTTCAGCAGAGACCAAGGAAGTTCATATGAACTGTGCGGAATTGAGCAAAGGAGGGCAGTGACGCAGTTGACCTGATAGAATTTGTGGCAACGTGGATCGAGCGAATTCGAATGTGATTGCAGATAGACGTCTTCATACATCACTCCTGAGCCATAGCAGGAAAGGCAAACAACACCACTTCCACAGCCGGCATAAATAGAAGTGCGAGCAGAACTGTATAAAACAAGCAGAACAAGAAAATTATGCACACGAGCAGAAATACTGTACATAAATTTGACAGCACGTAAAGTGAGTTGTACTGAAAATTGGCATGAAAGAGTTGATAATGCTGCTGTAGTATAGTTTTTGCGTTGTTTATCATCACCTTGAGAGTGCCTGGGCACTATTCTCCAGGTTTCGGCAAGCACAAAGCGAAAGATTCACAACATCAAGTTCTTTCACAAGAAGTGCCGAAACAGGTCCTCATCATCGCTCCTGACTGGTTGGTGTAGGTTTGTGGGGTTCAACCCCAAGCGTCTAGACTTGGAAAACCTGCCGCGAATCCGGAAGGATGTGGATGGGAAGCCAAGTCGGATGATGTGGCACGGGACAGAGTGCCAAAAGTGTGGGCTGCAGGTGGGTATTGTTGAGGATGTCGACTGCACCCGTCCAAATGGCCTTGTTGTAGATTGTCCAACAGGGATAGGAAAGGGGATGTTGGTTGGGGGAATTTGATTGGGACATGTAAGAGACAAACAAGGGGTTCAGTGAGGAGGGAGTGGTGGAACAGAATAGGGAAAGCGCAAGTAGCAGGGCGGTTCAGAGCAACACTTCCAGCAAGAACATCGTGTCCAAACCTGGCTCTGAGACTGTGTGAAAAACAATGGGGAAGGAGAAAGGCAGGGAAGGAGTGTCAGTGCCGTTGGTATTGTGCCTCCATCCTGTGCCAGGTACGGTCCAACTCTATCAGCTACCTTGAATATTGTCATCAGTGAAGCCTACCTGACCCAAAGGAACCTGCAAATGTGTGTCGCAGGATGATACCCTGTGTCCAATTGACATAGTGATGTCCTTGCACTTTCTCAGCATTGAAGGGCACATATTCCCAACCTCAGAACTATGTCCAGAAGCTGTCTCCACAGTGTCCATCTGGGAAACGAACACCACAATATGGACACACAAGCATTTTGGAAAGTTGCTGTTGTGTGGACTTCTGTCTGCCATTGCCCAACAGGCTGAAGGACCGTGCTCTGATGTCTTTCAGTGAACTGGTGCACTGTTAATTTGGCAATAGTGAAAGTAGCAGAGCAATGCTGGAAGCAGGGCCCCATTTGGCATTCTGCGCACTTCCAACAAATGCTTTTGCAAGGAGACTGCTGGGTACAGGAACTGAACTGAATCGCCCACACAACTGATTCGATTCATTGGCTTGGAGGTGCGACGAGAGAAGCGCACCAATCGGCAGGCCAGCTTGAACATTTACGCAGACGAGAAGATCCCCCTGGACATGCTGAGGTCCTGCCCAGAGGAGAAGAAGTACCCCCTGCTGTGGAGGAGCCGGGACCCGTTCCTGGCCCTGGACATACTGGGGGTTGATGACTAAAGGCCGAAGGGCTCCAGGGACAGTGAGCAGAGGGTTCCCGGACGCTGTTGCCAGGGGAGGCGTCGGATTTGGGCCAATGGGAGGGGAGAGAAATTGGATGCGTTGGATGCACGTGCATTTTGGGAGACGGTGCTTCTGCCTTGAGAGGGGGGATAATTGAGCTGTGTCACGTGGGTGATGCGCATCACCCGGTGAACGGTAGAACGTGTGCGTGGTGAGTGGCGCCCTGTGAATTGTGAGCAGCGGTGTCTGCAGAGATGCAGCCAGGCGGGGCCCGTCTTTGCAGTGGCTGCTGCACCGGTCACGTGCTGGGAAAGGACAATTCGATGTGTCGATTTCATTGTTTAATTGTTGACTTGGTTGGACAAAGTACGCCTGCCTTTCCGCGTGAATTCCAGCATCCACTAAGAAAAGTGGATCCACCAAACTTTTCCGTTGTTCAGACTGACACCTTTGCCATCATTGCTCTATTCCAGTTTGCTTGATAAAGGCTGCGTAGCACTTCTGCATAACATCGTCCCCTTCAAATGACAGGTGCGACCCAGCTATGTTAGAGCATGGAAGAGTATGCTGACGCTAAAGTCTCCTCTTCGGACAAGATCCGAGCTTCACGAAGGTCGGCTGAGGTTCTATGTGCACTACCGTGCATGAGTAGCGCCCCGAGTGATGCCAAGCCGTGCAGCCATGACAGCAAGTTCTGCGTCTTGGTGTTGCCTTTGTGGACAACGATCTGGGCCCAACAACGACTGGAAGCTGTTGCGACAGGCCGCCTGGCATTGCTCTTACCCACCTGCGTTGTCCAGTAGCGCATGACAGAGGGAGAACGGGCTCACACATCAAGTGCCATTGTGGGGATCAGCTCCAAAACAGGCGAAACAACGCACCGTAGTCATATTACACCCTTCCGCGTCAGATAGTTTTGCTGTTCCGCATTTTGTTTTGCAGAGCGTTGTTTTGCTATTTTACGTTGCTCCGCAGAAATTTTGTTGAAAGAGCCTTATTTATTTTATTGTTTTTTTCCGCAAAAAACGCCAAGCGTTACGTTACTACGCGGAAGGGCTTAAATACCTATGGTATGCCAGTAGTACATCGGGAGCTTTGCCACAACCGGGCTGCGCGAGCCGGCTTACTCGAACTCCTTGCCTTTGGGAAGGGTGCCCTGCGTGATGCACAGCGGTTGCCCTACATCGGGATCTGTTCATTCCATCGGCGGCAACGTGCCATCATCAAATTGTTTACACCAGCCGACAGAGGCCTCGTGCTGCTTTTCAAGCCGCTCCTCATCAGCCACATCAACTTAACACAATATGCAATGCAGCGCCCCCCTCCCGCCCTGCCGTGTTCCAGTATACGAGCTCCGTTCCAGAGCTTTCTAATGGCTTAAATGCCCCCGGTCACCATCTCCGCAAATCACAAATCGAACAGGCGTGGATGACTCATCCCGCCCAGGATGCCCGGTGCGCATGTCAACCGACGCCACGCTGCCATCGACGATCGCCGGCCGCATACGGCCTCCTGTGAGAGACGCATATCTCCTGCAGGCAACCCTCACAGCGTCTCCTATTGATTCCCAACTGTGTGACCTCACAGGGTTCGACCAGGCTGGTGGATATGCTGAGCACATCCTCTGGAGGCCAATCAGCATCTTGCACCAGAACGGCAGCCGGCACAGCAACGCCATTGCCGACGGCGACACCGCTTGCGCCTAATTATAATTCGAGCCTCTTAAACATAACTCGAGCTCCGTAGTTATAATTTGAGCTCTTTCCAGCCTCCCAGAGACAGCGGCAGGTCGTCGGCGCCCAGGCACTCGGGCGCTGCTGCGCTTGAGGCGAGGTCCCCGCCGCAGGTGTCCACGCCCAGCATGGCCTTCCACTCCTCGATGCGCGCCTCCCTGTCACCCAGCTCCTCGTCCGTGGCCTCCACCGTGTCCGCTGACGTGGCGTCGTTGTTGATGGTGTCCGTGGACTTGGGTGCCTGCTTGCGCTTGGCGTCTTCCTCGCCCTCCATCATCTCCTTCTCGCGCTCTTTCCTGTCCAAGCACCGCTGCTTGGACGCCGCCGTCGCGGCGTCTTCCTGGTGGGCGTGGAGAACTTGAGGATCAGCTAAAGTTGGATCAGAAAAGAGATCAAGCCAGGTCAAGCTAGACCGCACTAGACCAAAATAGATCCGATGAGATGAAGATTTTGGGTCGGGCAAAATGTAAGCCTGACGGCTAACTCCTTGGCCTGGTTATGTCAAAGTGCATGATGATGATGATGATTAAAGCAAGTGACTTCATTAGGAAATCCAACCACATTGCATCGCACCAAATTGGAACAATCTCGCTGCCTAAGAGGCGTGCCAGTGGGTTAAACAGCACGGCTAATGAAAGCTGAACAGCTCGGCTGAACAGAGCACACGTGTGAGAATACTCTGTGCAGTGCTCGGTGGATTAGGTTGTCGGCCCTCCACGCCACATTCACGGGCGCGCTTGCCCGTGTACGTGTATTCGGCCAGAGTTGAACTCGCCACGCGACAAGGCATGGTGCTTGCGGCATTGTGTTTGCCACATGCACATCCATTCTGCCTTCTATCCATCCATCCCTCCATTCAGTCTTTACCGCAACACGCGTATTGGAACTGATCAAGACCTTCGCCCCCCGGCAATTCATTGACCAAGTTAAAAGCAGCAGAATGGTAGAGGAACCAAGTAAAGTAGGGAACTCGATGTCACACGCACTACATTGATACCAGTGCTCTCCTCTCCATTGAGTTGAATCAATACGAGAGGTCATGTTTTGGGGGCGCAATACCTTTACATGTTTGATGTTGTGTTTGAATCGCAGTTTCACGAGACTGCGATGAAATGGGACTGCGGAGCTGAGCGCTCCACTATTAAACTAAAGTCTGCGATACCTAATATACATGTACTGAGTAAAGCGGCATGAGCTTTCTTCACGACCAAAATGCCAAGAGGGACCCTGCCTGAAGGGCGCTCGACTCCTCTTCCTCTTGAAGGTCCACTTTCCACAGCTCCGACATCCCAGGCCAAGCAAAGTCTGTCGCACCTGCAACCTGCAGCGATTTTGCAACCTCAACCCAGAGCAACAGCGCCCTTCCCATTGGTGCAGATCTATGGCACATGCCCCACCAGCATGAGTAATACAGGCATGAATAATTTCCTGACTGCGCATGTGAATGCAGGCGCGGATGCTGGCTCCGTCGACATCAAAATCCGCGCCTATACTCTCATCGGGGATGAGAATGGTGTACACTCAAGGGGGTTGGGAATTGCCAGTTTGCCCCCTGTTACAGCGACCTGGCCCATTGAAAATCTCTCCACGGTCAAAAAGGACGCGCAATTTCGCAATGGTTGTAAGCATTACTAACTACTAGGTGCAATTAGTCATGAAATCGTGAATTGCTGGGCTGAAATGCAACGAGACGCGCTTGGCAAATATTGCAGTCAAGGGAATCGAGGGTGGTGCACGAGAGGGTGCGATGGATCGCAACGTGCGTCGCGACGACCTTCGAATGCACAACAACTGTGTTCATGACAAAAGCCATGTTAGTTACGTCGAAGAGCTCACAGGCTGAAAATGCTCGTCCACTTGAACGAGGTACGCTCCCTCCGCAATGTCCCGAAGATCGATGCCGATGTCTCCTCCAACAGCCATACCGTCCAAATCTGGCGATCCTTCGTCTTCCTCCTGCAATCCAGCGGATCCAGATACTGAAATTTACTGCGCTTTGTACCATCTTTTACTAATAGGACTTTCCAGAGAATCTCCGGGCAGGTGGCAGCAAATTTCAGTTGCTTTGACTAACAGTAACCGTAATTCATCCCTGGCTGCAGGCTTGAGATTCACTAATGCTTATTGATGGTTCTTTTGATGTTGAAGATGATGTATTAAGACATCCGGGACACAGTTTTGGAGATTTTCGAAAAAAGCGCGCTGGGAACGAATGGAATCTGGAACATAGTATTCAAATGATTCCGAACCGGAAAGTCAGATAAAATAGATTGACCAATAATTGATTAACGAATTAAATCGTTAGCTGAGCAATAGACATCCATGGAAAATTATTTGCTAGCAACAACGCTAGAATTACACTGTTTGCCCTGATTGAGCACGAGAACCACTGCTGATACAAGATGCACAGGATTTCATACTGGTTCGAAATCGGACAAAAAATTTCATGAGACAGAATTATCAGCCAGCGCGTCGCACATGTTCTCTTTCAACAGGGGCACTTTCCTCCCATCGTGCATATTACTCATCGCTGGCCGATGCTGACGATGTTCCAATGGAGGCACCGTAGATACGATCCCACCGCCGCTGGCCGCGCGCCGGCCACGCTGGCCGCTGGCCGCGATCTGGCCGCTTTGCTCGGGACGCGACTTGGAGCGCCGAGATCGCACAGCGTTGCGAGCGATATGTTAACCCATTTCCCCCGCGCAACCTAATGGCAACCCACTCATGCTGGAGCGCATCGAAGCACGCCAATTCAATGTTCTTGCGCCAATTCTGGGCGCTGCTCACACCCACAAGTGCTCCATCGCGTGGCGACTCCAATTCGACTATACCATATGTTAATTAGCCCTTCCGTATCAAAAGCTTTACCACGACGGTTTTTGCTCCGTATTTTTTCCCGCAGCGTTATTTCTTTCTTCGGCGTTGCTCCGCCAAAACTCTATTTAATGTTGCTCCCCAAAAAGTCCAAGCACTACGCTACTAAGCGGAAGGCTTTAATAAATTGCGGTACATAATGGTCGAAGGCGATAATAATCGCGCATTCACTTGGCAATGTCCTTTTCTGCGCGCCTCCCACCTTGAGCCCCGGAATGCCGTCAGGGTAAATCCCACTGGGGTCCCAATTCGCTGGAATCCCCACATCCATGGTTGAGCTCCCAAGGGCAGACCACGGACATGCCAGCGGGTCCACTGCGGCGGCGAACATGGCAGCAGAAGCTTCCGGAACGCTGGCGCCGAGAGGCTGCAACGATGCGTCGTCTG